CACAACCTTCAGAATTAAAGATAAGATGTTAAATTACACACCCTCTATGAGGATCCAGTTTTCAGTATGAAATTCAGAATGAGAGTGATGACCCAAAAAGAAACAAAGATTTCAAACAAACAGACATTTAACACCCACACGGACGGCTTTGACTACATGACACATAAAAATATATGGTAATGCATTTTGAACGCTTCTATCGCTAAATGTTCCAGAAGAACATCAATTCTTGTAACCATCAAATAGAAAATGCATTACAAAGTGTTCCAAAGATACCAGATTATGCTACAATGTAAAAATTGCAAAAGATCAAAAGACATGTTCGACGATCCAAACTTTGAAACCCAACAAAGTTCAAAACAATAAACTGATATTACTTGTGAAGGAATGACAAATTTTTTCTCTCTTAGACAAGCTTAACGAACTGAGTGATTGAGATCCTATATTCTGTCGCACTTAAAACTTTTTTTTTTCAGATAAAAAGAATGTGTTACTGTCGCAGTTAAACTTGCTTATCCAAACAATTTTTTTTTTTTGAAAAATAAAAGAATTGTATTAATATAGGAACCAAGGGTAAGTCCTTTTAGATTCAAGATATGACCAAGATTTGTCTAATTAATATAGGACAAATAGAATTGAGTTGTCTAATTAAGTATTTGGAGAAAAAAAAATCTATACATCACATTTAGAATTTCTTAAACATCAAATCTAAGAAGTTTTAAGCACCACAAGTAAGGTTTGATTGCAAGACAAAACCAAAAAATAAAAAAAAAAAACTGAAAAATTTTCAAAATATTATTTAATAACTTAATCTACAATAAGTGAAATTACAAATCTATTTATAGGACTTCATAAATGAGTTACACAAAGAAAAAGTAAACTAAGAGAATTTAAAAATATTAATCCTAATATAGATAGAAAATATAATAATGAGAATAAAATCCTAAATTACAAAAATTTTAATAATACTCCTAAATAATATAATAATAAACTTCTAAATAGTATTGTTATTTCACATTTAATATAATTATTATTTCTAATTTATTTAGAAAATCTAATGCTAGCCCATTCTGCATCATATTTGAAGTTAATAATTCACAAATTTTTACAATCTTGAAAGAGGTGCCCTTCTGTATAACATGTCTACTAGAAACGAAAGTTACTTGTAACTTGAGCTTGAACTCTTGGATGATGTTGAACAGCTCCCTATAGCCATACCAAACAAACTTCTGAGGGTTCCAGCGTTCAACAATTCCCCACCAACAAGCTACACTGACTCCATCTACATTCAAAGACTTCAAGTAACTTAGCTCCTGTCTAACACCTTCAGGATCCACCAACTGGCAGAAATTGTTGATGACGCCAGCCTGCAACAGAAATTTAAAAAAAAAAAAAAAAAGTTTTAATTATCAGAAAATCAATTAGAAATTTGGTAGAAATTTGGTCTTCAGATTGTCATGAACATATTAGTATACGAATGGTTAAAAAGGATCGCACAGAAAAGTTACAAGTAAATAAAACGAAGTAAAATTAATAGAGATATAAACAACCTGATGGTGATGCTCAAATGAAATAAATAAACCTCCGCACAACATCAAACACTCACCGGAAGCATTACATAAACAGGGACGTATGGAGTTCCAGTAAAATTAGTCCCATGCTCCCCAGAACGAACATCAGTTATAAGCTGCAGCAATAAATAAGAACTCAGAAATGCTTAGTCTACCAAACAGTAGTCAACAATACCTTAGATATTATTACACTATCTGAAGGGATTGTAAGTAGCACAAGACCATTAATGAAATCCCCTTTATATATCATTTCATGAAAATACTTTAACTCCAAAAAACGAGTTCCAGGGCGCAAGATTCAAGTAACATATGGCCAGGATAGAAAATACTCATCCATTGTACACCCAAAGACAAAGACATGAAACATAGGTACACCAAGAGCCTTTATGCTAATATTTCACTATCGTTAATGGAAAGCGATTATACCGAGATGCTGGAGTTTTTATAGGTAGGGAAAACTTAAATTTTCATTAATTTCATTGAATTCACTATCTCCAAAAATTAACAACTTAAAATGTTTTTAAATAAAATTACATTTAAATCAAATGTTTAAAATTAATTTACCACAATATAAAAAATAAACATAAATCAAATCTTTTAAAAAATAAATTTACAGTAATTACATGATTTTTAAAAATTAAAAATGGATTAAATCTAATTAAAGATAAAAATTTATTTGAATTCAAACTAATAAATAAAAAAAATTATAATTTTTACCTTAATTTTCAACGCTCTCTCTTAATATAAGAATTATAATCAATAATTTTTTCTTATTAGAGCACATATCTTCAATATGTCTTATTTAATCTTCATATTTTAAAACACTTCTCTTCAATTGTTAATACACTTCTCATCAACCTCCAATTATTGATACATTTCTTATCAAAATCTGCAATTAATTATCTTGGAGCACTTCTCTCCAATTTTCAAAGAAGATATTCTTCTTCTTCAGCAACATTTGTTTGCTCATTCTTTAATCTGTAATTTTTTTGTATATACCTAAATCTTTTATAATAAAAATATTGTAATTTACCTTTATGTCAACAATCTTTTTCATCATGATTGGTTTTCTTACATACTTCGCATGATGGAAATTTTTCCTTTTTGATGTTGATGAAGACTTGTTTGACATTTTGGCCATGAAGACTCCCTCAATTGTTTTTTTATCTCTCATTACTCTTCTCTGCTCCACTGCTTGCAAAGCATTAATTAATTCTAGAATTGTAATTCTTGATAAATCCTTAGAATCTTCAAGTGATGAAATCTTTAACTCCAACGTTTCCGGCAAGCTCACAAGAATTTTTTAACAATTCTATTGTCAGAAAACTCTTCACCAGATAATTTAATTTTGTAAACAATTGTTAGGAGCTTGTTAAAATACTCTTTGATTCCTTCTAATTCTTTCATCATTTGAATCTCAAATTCTCTCTTAAAATTCAAAACTTGCATCAACCTAATTTGGTCAATGCCTAAATACTCAGTTTTAAACAAATCTCATATCTCTTTTGGAGTTTCATAAGTTATGATATCAATTGAAATCACTTCAGAAATTAAAGAGTACGAACAAGTTTTTGCTTTGTACTTCTTAGATTTTTCTTCATTATAACTCTTTAGCTGAGTTGCAATTGGATAAGATGGCAATGGTGGAAGTTAACCATTATTTTCAATCACATCTCACAAATAAAAAATTTGTAAATATGTTTGCATTTTTACAATCCATAATTGATAATTTTTCTCTGTGAAAATAGGAGGTGAAATCAATGGAAAAATGTTTGAGCCAATATTTAGTGTAGGGAACTCACTTATTTTCTCTCTATATTTTTTTTCTCACAGACCTATAATCAGAAAAAATTCTGATACCACTTATTGGAATTTTTCTAGATAAAAAAAATTAAACTTTTCATTAACTTCACTAACTTAAAAAATTAAAAACTTAAAGTCTTTTGCTTAAGATATTTTTGTATCAACCCTCTTCTCTCATCTCTCTATCCCTAAGTCACGTGTGAGCTCGTGACCCCTCCTTTTCAGCCACTGGCCAGCCGTAGTGGCCGACCATACCGGATGGCATAAATTCTGCAAAGTGATTGAAGGTTTGTGGCGATCGAAAATAAATTGTTTGATCTTGTCTGCAATGGTTGGCAACTGGAGTGACTGAGAATCTCCAAAAATGGTAGAGGCTTTCAGAAATCCATTTATCTCAACAAAGCCGAGTTCAGCTGGTTCCTGGACGCTTTGATGATTTCTGGTGGAGGAGAAAGAGTGGGGAACGAGCAAAACATTTCTTGGGACGGAACTATGATCTATGGTTCTCGTTTAGAAGCAACAAGAGGGGATTGTATCTTATGCTGTCAGTGGCTTAGGGAAAAAAGGCAAAAAGAAACTTGGGAACCAACGAAAGGGGTGCTGGAAGTTCATGAACGCGGCCTTCAAACTAGTGAACTGGCCATTAAAGAAACCTCTGGCGAAATCTAAAGATGGCAAGAGCAATGAAACTCTGAAGAATAACCACGATAAACCCTAGAAAGCCTCATTCAAATGCCCTCACTACCATATACTAATCCACTTTGCCATGGAGGTCGGGAATAAACAATCCTATGCGACGGCGCTACAGAATAGAGAGGATGTGAAGAGGAATTAGGTAGGGCAGAAGCCCCCTGAGAAGAAAACGGGTTAGATCGAATCCAATACATTTAGGCCCAGTAACAGACCCTATCATCACTCAGGCTCAAGTGAGCTGGAAACAAGGAGAAGGGGGTCTGAATATCGAGTAAGACAAGCCCAAAAAGTTCTAATTGGACCAAGTGGGCAGAAAAGATATTCAAAAGAAGAAAAAAGAAAGTGGATAATGGGACTGTCGAATGGAGAGCCAAACCCAAAAACCGCAAGGCCTAAATATGAAAGGGAGTGAATTCCTCTCAATAGCTTCTATTCCAGAGGGGAACATTCAGGGTCAAACAATTCCCCGAACCCTAATGTGGGCAGCACAGAAGATGTGGAGAGAAAGGAGAAAGAAGATATGGATAATTATCCGACAAGCGTAGATGAGGCAGAGTGTGTTCTAGAAGGAAAGAGCGAGGGAAACTGCAAGCAAAACCATATGGGTCAATTCATGGAGATTCCCAAACCTGATTCTCCCTTGAGCGAGCTCGACATTGAAGGAACCTCACTGAATAATGATCATCTTTATATGGTTCTGGCAGATGTCAGCTCTGGTGATGAC